AATTTAAACAGTGGCTCGGGGGCTCCGTGGGTTAAAGCCTCTGCCTTCAGCTCAGGTCATGATCCCGGGGTCCTGGGATGGAGCCCCGCATCGGGCTCTCTGCTCAGCAGGGAGCCTGCTTCCCTCTCTCTCTCTGCTTCCCTCTCTGCCTACTTGTGATCTCTGTCAAATAAATAAATAAAATCTTTTAAAAAAATAGATGCCACAATATTAATTATTGATTTATATACTAAACTATTTTAAAAAGCAGTAAACTTACAGGCAATGTTTTTTATTCCTTCTGTGATTTTTGTAAGAGCAATAAAAGAGCCTGGTGAACAGTGTGGTTCTAAATATAAGTTAGCTTTTATTACTATTACTGTTACTGTCGGGGCTGATGACATGTGGCAGGAAGGAGGATAGCATGGGATTCGATTGTGTCCCCCATAAATAATACTTTGGAGTCCTAACTCCCAGTACCTCAGAACGTGGACTTATTTGAAGTTAGGGTCTTTACAGAGGTAACCCAAGTTAAAATGAAGCCATAGAGCGGGCCCTAATCCACTATGACTTGCTGTCCTTATAAAAAGGAGAAATTTGGACACACACACACACACACACACACACACACACACACGTCACACGAAAATGAAGGCTAGGGTCTCTGAGCCTAGGAAGGCCAAGGATAGCCAGCAAATCCCTGCAAGCTAGGAGAGCGGGATGGGATGGATCCTCTCTCAGAGGGAGTCAACTCCACCATCACCTTGATCTTAGACTTTCAGCCCGGGTTAAGCCAGTTGGTGGTCCTTTGTTACAGCGGCCCCAGCAAAGCCATGTGGAGGGTCTGTAGCCATAGGCAGCCCGCATCCTTCTTTGGCGAGTTCACACTGACTGGATTCCTGGCATACCCCATGGCGCGCCAGATGGATAACCGCCTCCTTGTCCCACCCTCCTGGCCAATTTCTTCATGGTTATACCAGGTCCAGGAGCTCAGGACCCTAAGGGATATTTTGCGACAGGGCATACTTTTAGCCCTCAAGATAAAGCCTGGTAGCCTTGAGCAAATCATCTCTCCTGGCCCCAGATTCTTTACCTCCAAGAGAACATTCGTCAGACAGGAGTGTCCAAGTGTCTCTCCCCAGCCAAAATTGTAATGATTTCTGCAGCAGTGATAAAGGTTAGCCTGACCTTCCATTAATTATTCATTTCTCTTCATTAATTATTAGAGAACTGTCCTCTACAAATATACCTAAACTGTGTCTGGGCTTTAAGATATATGTGCCTTTTTTCCCCCCCCACAGTTGTCAGCTCTGTGTGTTGGAAAAGCATGGCCACAGAACTGGGGAGATTTGAAATCTAATCTTGGTTTCAGAATAATGATCAGATTAAAATATCAAATAACATCATCTACTGTCTGTAAATTATGGTTTAGGTTAATTTTTTTTATTATGCCTTAAGAGAAAAATTATTTTCAGTTAGAATGAATCTAAAGTAACCCAGAATGTGCATAAAAGTGCAATATTGAGGCTTCTCGGGTTTTTTGGTCTCTCAGTCCTACCCACACTATCTGATGTTTTTTTTTTCCCCCTCAAAGAATAACTCAGCTTCTGACTGCCCAGCGACAGCCACACGGTGTGTCTTTTACGGACTCCCAAGACCATGGCGACATTGGGAGCTCCGGTATGTGCCACTGGACACAACATTTCTGCCTACTGCTCTTTTCTGAGGGTCACCCTAGGTGTTGGGCTGTAACCTGGAGTCTTTGTGGAAGACACAATATCTTGACATGCAGGGATGTAATAAACCCGTGTGTGCTTGGTTCAACATGAAGGACACTCACAAGCACAGCCCATGTGGCTTGTGTGCTGTCCTAACAGGCATACAGAAGGAACTCGTTACAAAACCTGTTCCATTATTCATGGATTTGTGAACACGTACTCTGCTCTTTTGGTAAATAATTTTTCCAGGGATGGTTTCTCACAGCAGCTGACCGCCTTCCGTGCTGTTTTACTGCTTACATCCAGTGAGAGCATGGGCATGACACCAACTGTTATGCATTACCCTAGACTTCTGCTTGCAATAAGGAGGACACACGATGCCATACCAAAGTGAGTTTATTGACATTCCTTGAAGGTGGTATGATGGAAGAGAAAGCTCGGCCTGAGTATCACGTGACATTTTTCTTGATGGAAGCAAAAGCAGCCCAGCTCTGTGGACTTCTCCTGCTACCGACTAGAACAAAGACTTTTAACAAAACTGTTATAGACATTTCCTTAGGTAAGTTGGAAGCTGCAGGAAGTAGGCTAATGGAACAAGATTTACTCTATACACTACCTCTAGGCACCTTTTTTTCTACGAGAACAAAGGGACTACATGTCACTAACAGGAAAATAACATTTTCTCTTTTCAACCGTATGATGGGTAGAATATCCATCCCAGATTTTTAGGATATAGTATTGCAGTAGTTTTAATACTGGACACTGAAGTACATAATAATAATAATAATAATAATAATAATAAAGCACCACATTTTTAATGTAAAGTTCTAACTACTTTCATTTGAAAGTGTTTCATCTTGACTGGGAAAACATTTGTGGCAACTGAGAAATTTTTTGAACCCAAATTTTGGACACATGGTTTGACACATGGACTGACAAATACCATAGATGTAACATTAGAATTGTTGTGGAAATTCTGGCTTATCAACTTGCCACACAAAGATACTTACCATTAACAGACATATGGTCAGGTATTAAAAGAGAAAAAAGATTTAAAAATCTGCCAAAGGATCCTTTTTCTCTTTTTCTCAATTTCCTCATTGCCCTTTAAACAATTGTGCTACGATGGTAGTAAAAAAAGTTCTCACAACTGCTGTCAACTTACATACGCAGGAAGCTATAAAGAACTCCTGACCCAGCAGAGGCAGTTTCTGTCTTCATATGATACAATAAAATGTCCTATCCATAAAATTATAATACTTCATAGCATTTTACAACTATTTTTCTACTTGAAATGTATGTTTTCTCTTATTAATTGTTGTTTGTTCCCCAATTAAGCGTAATATATTCTTACCAGAACTAGCTCTAAAAGGTCTTGTTTTAGGGGAATGGTGGTTTATAAGTGATTGATATTATTATATGCCTCCATGGAGAAAACTCATACTTTAAATTAAAAAAGAAAATACACTGGTAACAAACAGATCTGCCTCGCTGGTTGTGTCATATGATTGGGGGAGACTCACATCTCCAGCTGGTGGAATTAATAGCATAATTATACACACACGATTTTCATGTATTCTAGCCTCATATATTAGTGAATAATAGCTAAAGAAGCATCACTTGGAACATAGAGAAATCATAGGATCTTTCCATAACAACTGTATGTACTGCTTTTCTCTTTGTTTACCTTCCTTCAGGATTCTACGCGAGGCTGTCACAGAATCCGGGACCCTGTTAAGCAAGCTTTGCATCCTTTCAGCTGACTTTGACATCAGTACTTCTTTTTGGAATTTTATACTTTTATGAAATACTGATCCTGCAAAGCTTTGTGGGATACATTTAGAGTCAGGGCATCTGGGTGGGAGGAGGGGGAACAGGAAGAAGGAAAACTTAGTTGAAAAACCATTCGTGCCCAAGATATCTACCTCTGTATATTTCCTAGGATACCTTGTTCCTTCTGTGTATGGGTAGAATGGGTATCAAGTAATCTAATTAATATGTTAATTAGATATTTGAGTAAATTGCAAAGCTCCCCAGGAGCCTGTTCCGTCTTTTGAACACCTTCCTCCTTTGCCAATGCCTAACAAATAAGGTAAGTACTAAAAAAAGAATCAAGTGATTGAATTAAGAGTATTTACACATGGATAACACCAAGTTCTAAAAATGAAAGATGCTCCCTATACTAGAGATGCTGTTCAATGAGGTAAAATGGTGAGATGATTTGCATTATTCTATAAATAATAGCTCTATTGGAACCCACAACTTTTCAGATACGGACATGTGTACTGAATTTTACAGATCCCCTAAATTTATGTTATGTGACTTACACATTCCATCTTACCTTGTAAATATTCTTTTCAGACAACAACAGAAAGCTAAACTTCTGTAACATATTATTTCCTGATTGACTATGGATACACAGCAGCCAGGGGTGCTGGGCATTATAAAGAATTCCTACTAAAAGAAGTTTCCTTTTGGAGCCCAAGAAACACAATGTAGTGCCTAGACACACACCGATACCATGAGCACAAGGCATGACTTCCCGCTGGATTAACTCTGTCTCACATTTCTCATATTTCTCACTCTTCTCCCTTGTTTAATATATTAGAAGTAACAATGTGACATCTCAACAGTGGGGGAGGGGCCTTTAGCTCTTCTTTTCCCAGTGAAGAAAAACACTTTCACTTATGACATATTTCAGACAACACAGATAACAAGGTTAGAAAAATAGAAATGACCATTAAGTTTGGGCTAATTCCAAATGTAATCAAGAGGTTAGTCTGTCTCTGGAGCTGGCAACTGTTTTTCTGAAAACACTTGAGTTTTCTGAGCTATCTCCTCACTGAGTGCTGAAAGAAACTGGGTATTTATTTTGACAAAACTACATGCCTTTGGGGTGTTAGGTGTCTGCTCCAGGAGGACTGCTGCGGATGAAGGAGGAGTATTATATTGCCCTTGACCCCGAACAAGCACCATCACTCTCTGCAGCTTCTCGTTTAACGTGTCCCCATGGACAATCCGATGTGAAGGAATTCGAACACCATAGCAAAGAAAAGTAAAAAAAAAAAAAAAAAAAAAAAAAAAAAGGCATGAAAAAAACAACATCAAAGTTAAAACACAAGTCCACTTGCCATTTCCCTTTAACAAAAGCCATGAGATGATCTTTACATTTTCTTTTCCCTTTGCGAAGGAGAACCATAGCTTGACCAAACAAAGCAAAGCAAAGGAAAACAGAATAGAACCCCGGTATTCAAACTAACCTAACGTGGCCTTCTTCCCTCTCTCCTGTTCGCTCCATCACGTTCTACTGAACACCATGGGGGTGGAAGCCTCGGGCTTCAGGCTACGTAATGAGATCTCCTTCGTGTGCACAAGCTTCTGCTTCTTGGTGGTGAGTGTTCACAGGGACTGTGCCCCTCCTGGACTTCTCTAAATTCAGGCTAAGCCACAATCCCCACAACCAACGAGATACACTGTGTTGCATCAGCAGGGGGCGTTTTCCTGTTGTTGTTACTTGTTGGAAAGTGTGGTATTTGCACCATTATGTCTAGGCCAGTTCCAGCTGATGGGACTGATGCCACACAGGACTCATGAGTTGAATGTATAAAAATTTCAGCTTTGCCACTGCTGTTTCTGGATGGATGTATGCGCGGGGCAAAAGGAGAGTGGGAGGAAAAGAAATTGTTGATTGTCTCCTAGACCTGGAGTTGGTTGTTAGAAATTATAAAAAAATGGTGGCTCTGCTCAGAAGAAGACATGGGCGTATAAAAGCTCGGAATGCTTAATGCTCAAATTTCCCTAAAATTATATAAATGGAAGTAAACTTTGATTACCATTTGGTCAAGTATAGCATCGTTTGCATTCCTATTTCAGTGTTAGTAATGGAGGTATGTGGAGATACACACAGACCTTGAGACGGCTGCTGTTTAATATTGCATACAGGCTAGCAGTTGATCGAGAATAGAGGCGATAAGCCTGAAGGTTGGATCTCAGAAGAAGGCAGTTCTTCATGCACAGCTTTTGTCAATCCTGATTTGGTCTGAAAATCAAAATCATGGGATACCAAAAATCAAAGGAGAGCTGATTTAGGGAAAGGGCACGGGGATCATCCCAGAAAGGGCGATGTGACTGCCAGGAAAATGTCAGGTGAGTTTCCAGGTCCTCATTCAAGTCCAAAGGTGCTGGTTTCTTCTACTGCCGTGAGTAGCTTTTCATACAACATGGAGTATGAGGGATACGGTGGAAGATCCAGTCGGTTGAAGCACGTGTGTGCCCTGAATGGGGAAAAAAGACCGGTGAAGGTGTTTGCATGTATCTGCGATCAGAAGCCATGAAGCAAAAGGGAGTACAAAGTGAGCGCAACCACGATTTCGGACCACCATGAAGCAACTAGTTTAATTTTGCAACTAAGAACAACAGCCTTCCAGACACACATGAACCAGCTGAGGGAGGAGAGTAATGGAAACAGACGGTTTGCCTTCATAAGCAAACTATACTAATGTAGGGCTGTATTGGAGGATCGGCCGGCTTCTCTGTGGGGTCCGCTCTATTCTGCGACTGAGCTGTGAACTTGGATGTGACCAGTGAAGGTGGCCGAAGCATGATCATTATTAGAGGATCATAGTCCCAAGTCTCCTTGTCCAGCTCTGATTTCTGGGCCACAGTAAACTACATGCATCAATGCACGGCTGCCACGAGATGCCCCGGAGTCCTGACATCCAAAGCTCCATCAAGTCAGGTGAGCCCCGGAGACGGTCAGACTCCCCCACTTGCAGTGCGACACAGCCAACCTGACACCGGCACGTCGATTTCCAAGGACAGCTGAGCTCATGGAATAGTCTTCCCTGGTTGCCCGGGTCATGCCTGCACCCTGGTTCTGCCTTACTTGTCCTGTCCTATATTCATCCTCGGGGCCCACGCACGACAGCACCTGGTTTGGACAAGGAACGGTTTCCCCCACCAGGACCAGATCCTGTGTCATCCGTATGGGGCTCAGTGGAGAGCCCAAGAGACCCAGAACAGGTTCCTCCTGTGGAACTTCAAGTCACCTGACTGGTTTCTTCCTGTCAGATGGTCTCTGTTTTCACGGACTCTTTGGTTGAGACCACGGCCTGCATTAAGTAGGGAGGAAGGCAGGTGGGTGCCCCTCAGGTTAACTGAATGCCTTTTGCTCCCTCGAAGGGGTGGTGTGTTGCAGCGGTGTTTTGAGAAGCCAACCAGCACAAAAAAGGGCACATTTAGAGGAAATGAAATAAAATAATAAATAAAAGAGAAGAAGAGAACATATCACAAGTATACATACAAACAAATAAACAAAACTCTAACTGAAGAGACCATTCTCCCTTCATCTGAATTTCATTTGGGATATGGAATTCTTCTAATCACAAGATCCCCAGGGAAGTTGTGTATTATTTATACCTTTATTTTCAGAGTTCCTGATGAGGCTGACCCAGTGCTCAGGGGGAGGAGACTGTTGTGTTTGCCTCTCAACATCCGTTCCTCCTTCGCCTGGTCACAGCTCCCTCACTGTCCTTGGGAAACTACCCCCCCAAACTCGTCCCCTCACAAGCGCCAATGGTGAGTAGAGGATAGTAGTGCAACTGGCCTTAGGCCTCAAGGACTTAACTGGGAAGAAGCATAAAAACAGATCAAGATTTAGTAGAGGTCTCAGATTATGATCTAATATTCTAGTAGGCCTAGGTTGACTTCACAAGAGAATAATTAAAATATTTTACCTAAATTCATTTGGGTAAAAGTGAAAAAGCACTCAGGAAAATGAGCAGGATGACAATGTCAGTGGCTTCTCTGTTTAGAAAGATTAAAACTAGGACTACTTTGGGCTCTGGCTAGCTATGTTAAGTGGGGCAGGAACATCCCAGGTATGCTTTTGAACCTGGCTGAACTAGCTGGGTGCGAGATGTGAGCAGACATCATCGTCTTGGTTTTTTTTTTAAAGTGGCACTCATCAGTGGAAATGTTACAGCAAAAAATCCCCTATTTGCAAACCAAATGAATTCTATAAAAGGTAATTTCTGGGAATAATCTGAAAGCATTAGCAAATGGCACTCTTTAAGACCTTGTGTGAACACCCAGAGTTTCTCTGTGGCTTTTACTGTTTTTATGACCAGCTTTGGTTAACGCTCTTAAACAGATTCTAGTTTGTGAACTAGGATGAACACACACAATCCAGTCACGGTTCAGTTTCACATTCTTAGATGCTCGCCGTCCTCCAGGAGCAGTTCTGCCCGCTTAGAGCTCCTGCTCACTTTCCCCCCCTGGGCACTGGGCCCCGTGCTCTGGGGTGCATTGGGGTGCTGGGGAAAGCCCGAAACCAGGGGCTGGAAGACGTCTCTTTCGACTGCGGTCTAGCTGCTTATTAGCTTTATCCCCTTGGGAAAGTCAATTAGTCTTTCTGAGCCTCAGTCTTCTCCCTTGTGAAATGGGGGTAATAACATGTCTTGTGTACCTCGGGGGTCTGTTGTGAGGAGCAATGTTAGAATACACATAAATGCCTCTTATAATCCGTGATTCATCATTTAGACACAAGGTTCTCTCCATGCGGCCATGACTGCGGATGATTGCAGGAAGCGTGTCGCACCTGTGGGGACTCAAGCCCCTCCGCCTTCCGCACATGAACTCCTGGTAGATGAGTCACCTGGATTTCCCATTTGTGCGGTTGCTATTTTGGAACTCCACACGGATCTTTCCAATCCTGCCAGGTCAATTTTCACTCTGTTGGTGTTAATCTAGGATTCCAGTATTTTGAGGTTAATTCAGGATTTAAATGGCGTCAATCACTGTATTATTTGCCCTTTAATTTGTATCATCTGCACGACTGATCTCCCTGTCTCCTCTCTTTTTTTTTTCAAGTTACTGATGAAAATGGTAACCAAGGCCACGGACAGTATGCTTCTCCCCAGAAGACACCACTTTGAGGCTGGTCAAAAGCAAACAACACTACTAAAATCAGGAAAATCCCTGCCCCCTGCGGCTGCTTGTTCGGTGAGCTGTGAGGACAGTGTTCCACGTCCAGTCTTCCCTTCGTGCCTTCTTCCCCACCCAACCACAGCCTCTCTCTGTGATGCTTCTCACTCTTGTCACTACTGAACCTACTCTTTCTCAACCTCTTCGAGAACCTCTTGGTCCCCAATCCAGGGACCCATTCTCTACCCTCATTTACTCAGGCTCCTTAAGAGCCTTCTTGAACATCTCTCTCCCCTTGGCTTCTCTGGTTTCTCAGTGGTTGGCAATTTCTTTTCTGAACTCCCAATGGCTCCCTGAACCTTACGGTCCGCAGAGCAGGGTTTCTCAGCTTGGTACTACTAACATTTTAAACGAATTTTCTGTTGGGAGGGGCTGTCCAGTGTACCATAAAATGCTTAGAAAGATCTTTGGCCTCTACTTGCCAGATGCCAATAGCACCTCCCCCCACAACCAGAAATGTCTCCAGACCTTGCTCAATGTCCTGTAGGGGGGCAAAATCACCTCTCCCAGCCCGCTTGAGAGCCATCCCTACAGAGTAAGCCAACAGCCCACCTTAACCAGGCCTCCCCCTCCCCCGCACTTGTGCTCAGTGAAGCTTGTTGTTAGAATTCCATTTGCAACTTTTATGCTAATCTGCCCATGACCCACAGTTCTGTAATCCCTGGTCCCTACTCCAAATGTAGACCCTGAAGTTTCTCTCCTCTCCTTTATTCCATCTCCATGCTGTCGTGTGCTGTGTCTACTCTAACTTCCCTGCTTTTCTTTTCTTTGGAGCCTCCCCAGTCCTTGTTCCATAGTAAGGAAACTCTCCCACTCTTCCTTTCTGGACATGCCTTACAAGTCCTAGCATCCCTTCCCAGCGCTCCTGAGTGGAGACGGCCCACGATCACTCTGCCACATTCTGGGATGTGGGTGAGCCCTGCTCACTCCCCACAGCCAATTCTAGATTGTTACTTTCAAATCCTCAATCAAAAATTTCTGTTCTTTTTACTCAGCCATAGGAAAAGGATGAGATCTTGCCATTTGTGACACCAGGGATGGACTTGGAGGGTATTCTGTTAAGTGAAATAAGCCAGACAAAGAAAGACAAATACTAAATGATCTCACATATACATGTAATCTAAAAAATAAAATAAAATAAACAAAGAAAAAGCAGAAACAAACTCATAAATACAGAAAATAAGCTGGTGGTGGCCAGAGGCGTGGGGGTGGGAGGATGGGGCAAATGCGGAAAGGGGAGGAGGAGGTACAGACTTCCAGTTATGGAATGAAAATGTCACAATAATAAAAGGCATGATCCAGGAAATATAGTCAATGGCATCGTCATAGTGTTTTAAGGTGACAGATGGTAGCCACACTCATGGTGAGCACGGCATAACTTACAGACGTGGGGAATCACAATGCTGTACACCTGAAACTAATGTAACACGCTGTGTCAAGTACACTTCAATAAATATGAATAAATTTTAAAAAGAGGGAATCAAATGTTTAAAAAATTCTGTTCCTTCAACTCTCTTAGATTCTGCCCCCCCCATAACTACAGGTTTTTTTTTTTTTTTTTAAGATTTTATTTATGTATTTGACACAGAGAGAGAGATCACAAGTAGGCAGAGAGGCAGGCAGAGGGGGAAGGGGAAGCAGGATCCCCGCTGAGCAGAGAGCCTGATGCGGGCCTCGATCCCAGGACCCTGAGATCATGACCTGAGCTGAAGGCAGAGGCTTTAACCCACTGACCCACCCAGGCGCCTTAACTACAGGTTCTATCTGGCATTTTATTTCAATCCAACAGGATAGATTAGAAGATACAGCATGTTATCTGCAGGCAAGGAGGTAAAGTGTCATCTTGAGGAACTTATATGTCAGACACACACACACACACACACACACAAAGCAAATATGCATGGACTGGGTTGTAACGTTATGTAAACAACATATTTCTTTCTGTGGCCTATGGTTAAAAAGTTTGAAAATCAGTGATCTCGCTCTATCTTCCATACCTTCTGACCTTCCAGCTAATTACATTTATTAAAACCTCTGGTTCTTTGCTTAAATCCTTCCCATTTCAGGTGTTCCCGCCAGATTGTGTGGTACCTGAGTCCACATGGTGACCTGCCCGTTCAATGCCCTAATCTGCCAGCTCCTTGGCCTCAACCCCAGTGACTATCCCGCCCATCTGGTACGGAAGTTTCTTCACCAGACACTGTAAAATGACACCCTGGAAACCACTGCTCTCATAGTCCTCCTTCCTAACCCTCCTACAGTTTTTAGGAGGCAAGGACTTGAATTGATGTGAAGGTTTTATTTAGCCTGTGCTATGATTCGGGTTTGCTTGTGACGCTATTTGGCACTCTGGTCTGGGAAGCCAGCTGCCTCTCCATGGGGGGAAGATCTGAGAACAAAGTAGTTCCAGACCACCTTTCCTCCCAGTCTGGGCAGTATGCGTTGGGCTTCTGTTCTTTGGGAAGTCCCGGGTTGTCCTGTGTCTGGTGCTCTGCTAGCTCTGGGCTTCCTGCCATCTACCATGTGGTCTGGCTAGTCTACCCAAACTACTGTTCTTGGAACTCAGAAATTCTTTCTTTCTTTGAACACATTGGTGAACTTTTTCGGTTCTTGGATCTTCAGAAAATGTACAGGGAATACTAGTTAGGGGGTCATTTTTACTGTCCTCCCAGAGGCATCTCAGCACTTGCTTTTTGGGACCCTCTTGGCCCAAGGTAAAGTCTCTGTCTCCCCAAGGAATCCTTTCTGTGGTTTGCAGAACAGCAGCTTTTTCAGGGATGCCTTGGCCCGGATGTGAATAGCTCCATGATAAGCCCAATGTCCATCTTACAAGCTCCTTGTGTGGGTTAATAGTATTAATGTATATTTCAAAGCTTCTCAAAGAAAATATGTAATTAGGCTCAATCTGTGACCTCCAAATGACAAAAAGCAATTCCTATTCCCCTTCCTAAAGAGTAAATCAGAGCCTCCTCAGCACAGCCCTCTCCCTGTGACCCACCAAACTATCTTTCTCAATCTCATCCCTTGTGAGCATCACTTTGGATATCTTGACCTCCACGCTAGTTCAGCGATCCTTCCTGCTTCAGCTTGGAACTCTGCTCTACTCATTTATTGCCCCCTCAGTGCTCACCTAAGTGCCATCTTCTTGTGGCATGTCCTCTTCCCAACTCAATCGGGATTTGGTCTGTATTCTACATTACAGACCTTCCCGGTACCTTCCATTTACACTCCTTCTCAGTGCCTCTCCGATTCCACTTCGTGTTGTAACTTATTATTACTGGGCTGTGCTCCTTCCTAGACTATAAGCTCCTCTGGGAAGGTAGACGGCTGTGTCTTAGCCACTCTTCAGAGTACACACGATGCTGGTGGCGGTGGGGGGGGGGGCGTGTGCTATCATCAAACAGTGATGCAAACCCATTTCTCTAAAAACAGACTGTTTCCAAATAACCTCATCTACTGAATCTGTCATTAAACTACATAAATGGAAATCTTGCCTTTTTATGCCTTATTTTCTTGCCAGATTTAATTCAGTAGGCTCAGCTCTCAGCAGACCCAAGCGAATGAGCACCGAGGGTCTGCTGAACAAGTCCATGAAGCCAGGGCTGGAAACTGTGCCAAGACAGTAGGCTGTCATTGACCAGGTGGGCATGTACTCTGTTTCCTGGGCCTCCTGACGCTCACTGACATCAGCTGACTAGTCTTCAGGACATGGGAAGGTCTGGGAGGTCTGGATGCCAATCATAGTTCAGTAGATCCTTCCACTAGGATTTAGCAATAGTGTCCAGGAGGCCATGTGGAAAGAGCCGAATTAAATGTGGATCGTCTTTTATAATCAGAAAATATCATAGTAGAAGAAAATAATATGGATCAGTCTTTTCTTCTGCTGTTGAGCAGTATTTATTACTGTGGTACCTATGCAGAGGTGCCCTTTTATTTCACTGAGCAGGAAAAGGCTGCTCAAGGTGGTCGAGGAAGGACCCAGAAGTGTTAGAACTCGTGGTGGAGGGAATTCTTTCTGTTACATTGCCTAGATCCGTAGTGCCTCCTTTACTGCCTTTATGTCACCATCATCTCCTTGACAGCTTGCTATACTAAAGTCACTACAGAGACTTGAGATACACATGGTCTTGTCCTCACCTGTTTCAAAACACAGTAGGAAAAATGTGACACGTATGAGCATAACCATCCTACCGAGTACAAGTCATGTGCCAGAGAAGGACAGATACAGAGCTGGAAGGCTTATGTTGGGCTTCTAGCCTCTCTTCCCACCCTTACTTGCTGAGACATTCCTCCTCAAGTTAAACTGGGCTACATACAGCTGGGAAGGCTTCCCACAACAGACACACGGGCCATGACACTACAGCCTAAATGCTATCAGTCATCAAAAAACCAACCAAGAATATGGTCTAAATTCACCTCCCAGAGACTCCTCACGGGTGCCTTTCGCCAGTAAGTCACATAAGAGTAACTTGGGTGGCAGGAAAGAATTCCATCCCGAAGGACCATGCCCCAAACTCCAATATCAAAGTGTGTGGCCCTCTTCAGTGGGTTCGTGAGGGCCGGCAGGAGTACCTACCTGGGGAGAGATGTAATCTTCCCCCACTTCTCTATGCAGAAGCGCCGGAGCCCATTGCTTCCTCGGAGGGCCGCAAAGCCTTCATAGGGCACACTCGACGTTCCCGTGACAAACTGAAGTAACCTCAGCCTCTGCTCGTTATTGAAGCGCTCCACAGCAGCCCAGAACCAGCGGATCACAAGATGCCCGTCGTGGTAACCTGAGGGGAGCGGAGGGAGGGGGACAGGGAGGATGTGCAGAGAGGAGAGGAGAGAAGGGAGGGAGGCGACATGTATCGCAGGGGTGAGGAGGACCAAACTGCTCCGGTCGGTCTGCCAGGTTCTCTAACGTGGGCCTTCACACAGGTCGAAGGCAATCTGTGCACTTAGGTCAGGTTTTATAGCAAAAGCTGATTTACAAAATGGCCATTTTATAAGATTTTATGCTCTGAGGGACGTCCTCAGAGACGTCTGCTTCCTACGTGAACAACTGGGACCCCACCAACCGTTTTCCTGCCTGGTGAACGTGAGACAAGGAGTGGCTATGTTAACTTCACCGCAGTATACGTTGTCTCAAAAACAGACAATTGCATCTGGGCCAGCCCTTCGGCTCACCTCCCCGGTACTCTGTGTTATTCCGCCAGTCGTTCAGGTCGATCTCCGCCGTGCCAGCTATCACCAGCTCCAGCTCCCTGGCGTCGAACACGGAGACAAGCCTCGAGTCTACGACCTGAAATACACATTAGGCTTCAGGTCCAACCACACTGAAGTTCTAGTCGTTATTATCACTTCTGTGGTTTTACACTGGGAAACGGACCATCATTTCCAACTTTTTTCTTTTTTAAACCAATGTACTATCGTGTTCAAGTTCAAAGTCATGACTTAAACATTCTGAAACACAACCATCAATGAGCTGGGAACTCCAAAAAGGCCCCAGGGTTTTCACTACCTCTGAAAGTCCCTCTCAGAACGCTGTCATGAGCAAATCTGACTTGACTTTCTCTGGTCGCACTGAAGTTGCCAAGTATCATTGCATTTTAAAGGCAAAAGGTCCCAACACGTTGAAGTGACATGAGGGCTTTTACTATGATCATTTCACTTATAAGGTATCCTCTCTTTCACATAAAACTATAACTTATTTCCTAGAAATGGGCATTCCATATTAAAACAACTGTATTTCCCTTCCTTTCTCCCTTCAGTTCCTTCCTCCTGCCTTCAAAGATCTGGAAGGACCTCCTTAGCTAGGGCTCTGAGCTCTGACTTTATGCTTTGTTTTCAAATAGATCGGACACAAGTCACAGCTTCTCCAGTCAGACTCACGGTGGACCAGCCAGTGAGCCATGTTGTCCTCCATTACGGGCAGGGAAAGAAAACCTTCCAAGACCCGAACCCCAAGAAAACATTTACAGCGTCTTGTTTCTAAACTGCAAAAGGTTAAGGATGTCAACATTTGGTGCATGGCAAGTTGGCAGCAGCTGTCCCTGTCCTTTTGACTTACCCCCTTAGTCATGGCACAAAGTGACACTATAACACGAGAAATCTAGCAGGAACGGACAGTGCCCTCCAATGCCTTCAGGTCACTTATTTTCATTTCACTGAATGAAAGGAAACACACAGCATGCACATACCTTGACAGGAGATACTGAGTGTTTTCCTAACTGCCACACTGGGGCCACAGCAACACCATTTTTGTGAGGGCATTTTTCACCTACCACAAGAGCTAGGTCTCCCAGAGAACTCTGACCCCTCTGTCATCTGTCCCAAGGGTGTCCTCTTTGCAATGTGGTGACTGGAGCCGAGCCCTTTGCCTGACTTGGTTCTTCTTCTCCTTTCCCCCTACAAGCTGTGCCGGTGACGAGGGAGGGCCCTGACTGCAGCCTGTCTTCCTCAGCCGGGCCTGGGCCTCACCTCACAGAAGCCCCGTACCAGGGCCTCGGTCTGCTGTACCACACCGCGTTCCACCCGCCACTTCACCATCCTCTCGATGTACTCCTTCTTGTTCTTCTCCGTCACCTGGGTGTTGGCCCCTCCGGATTTTAACTCCCTCTCTGTCACCTTGTGGGCAAACAGAAAGATGGCGTTGCTTGTCAACTCAGCTTATCTGGCCATGACACATGTCAATTCTAGTAGGACGAACGATTTATAAAAAGTCTTCCTCACATGGGTTCAGCATTATTACCTCCTTCAGTCTTTATCCTTTTCTGGAAGTTACTAAAAAAAGCTCTGGTTCTTCTCAGATGATGGTTTGAGCTGGAAGCTGGAAAGCTGCATTTTTGTTTGTTTTATTAAGAGGAAACATATTTCCTTAACTCAAGAGGTATAACAGAAATAAAAGAAAAATGCCCCTCGTTGTCCCAGGGAAAGAGATGGACCGGAAAGTCCTTATACTCAATTCCCCCAAATCCCACTTAGATCACATCCTCAAAAGCCACCAGCCTCCCCACCCAGAGCAGGTCATTGACAGGAAAATAGCAGAAGGTGGGAAGATGGTTTTTATAGCCGGTATAATATTGACTGAAGAATGACAGACTAACCTTGAGAAAGGAAACAGAAAATGACCTTGCCACTTTGTATAGTGGTGCTTGTAGGACAAAGGAATCATTAAGAAAAGCTATGATCTGTGCTCTATCTTTTGAAAGGGAAGAGGGCAGATAACATGTTAGCCATTTTTATCAGGAAGTGTTGGGGTGCCTGGGTGGCTCAGTCAGTTAAATGGCTGCCTTCAGCTCAGGTCATGATCTTGGGAGTCTTGGGATTAAGCCCCACATTGGGTTCTCTGTTCAGTGGGGAGTCTGCTTCTCCTTCTGACTCTCCCCCTGCTCATCGTCTCTCTCTCAAATCAATAAATAAAATCTTAAAAAAAAAAAGTGTTGGTGTTTTAAGGAGTTGTCAGTCACTTAAGGGGCTCAGCTCACCACTCGAAGCTGTAAGAAATGAGGCATAACTGTATTTAGCCATGGGTTTAAGAAATGTAGATATGTACATTCGGCATTCAGGGACTTAGGTACCTAAACAAGCAATCCACAGAAGTCTGATGGTTATTTTTTCTTCTATCACTTAGGTGACTAGTGCTAGTTACAAAATACTGGCTAATTCTAACATCTTAATTGCCACTCAGTATCCACGTTCCGTGGAACCTCTGATTTTCAGCTGCCCAGTTAAAGACTAATTCCTAACCCCACCTGCAGCTAGGTGTGCCAGGTTAACTAAATTTTGGCAGGTACGGTGTAAGCAGCAGTATTGTATGGCCCGTGCGGGGACCTCCTTGAAGGGAGGGGCTGTCGTTCCTTTGTCCTGCAGCCTCAGGCCCCACCACGATGGCTGGGCCACAAGTGCAGGTGCCCACGGTAGGCACTGTAGCCGCGGCTTGTCTGCCTCTATACTTGGATGCGAGAGAAAAATAAACTGTTAATTTCAGCAGAGTCATTTTGGGTTTCCTCACACGCAGCTGACCCTAATCCCAACTAACACACAGGAAAAGCCTAAGATGTCCCTCACTGGCAGCTCTTCAGGATCTCGTAACTTGCTAAAAGAAGGGCTAAGACTCAGCTCTCCAGAATCAAAGTCATTGTTCTTAGCGACCTCGTTTGAAGAAGAATGAGATCTGTTTACACTGTACACAGAGAGACATTTTTCTAGATCTACATCACATCCTTATTTTTATCATTGGGAACACTGTGAACTTCCGAGTTGTTCCCGTGCCACACACACACGAGGAGTATGCTTTTGTATTTTCAGTGTCATTTTCCCCCTCTAATTTTGTGTATTCAGTTATGTGTAGCTTACTTCATTTTTCTCTGAGTAGGTAATATGTGTCCATGGAGTAACATTCAAGAGGTATAAAAAGCCATGAGTGAAAAGCAAGTTTCTCTCCCATCTCATCTCCCAGCCATATAGTCTCCCTACCCAGAGAAAACTGCCCTTTACTTCTCTTCCAGGGAGAACTGACCAATATAGCAGGGAACATGTGGAAATCATCTCCTTTCCCCCATAAATAGCATATTTTACACACTATTCATCGCCATACTTTTTTCACTTAAAAATGGACCCTGATAGTTGTCGTGAACCAATTCGGAACTGACTTACTCTGTTCTAGTTGTTGTTGTTGCAATATCCCGTTCACTGTCTATGATTTACAAGGAAGCTGATGGGCTGGGATGTCTTGCACTTTTCAGCCCCACATCCCACTGGCTCACTATTCCATTGTGTGAATGTATCAGAATTTATTTAGCCAGTGCTCTGTTTCTGATCCTTTGCAACTATCAACAAGGGTGCGGTGAAGATCTTAGTACATTACTCATTTGAATCGGGTGTGAATCCGTAGGACAAATTCCTAGACATGGGTGCTGACTCAACGGCAGGTGCATTTGTTTTTTTATTTTTTTATTTAAATTCCAGTTAGTTAACATCCAAGGTAATACTAGTTTCAGGTGCAGAATTTAGTGAGTCATCACAACATACAATACCCGGAAGGGCGGGTGCATTTAGAATGAGGGTAGCTCTCATAAAGGTGCCTTTCACAGGGAGTGAACCAAACTTCCACTTACCCCCACCTACACTCCTGTGCAGCCATGTCTGCTCCCTACACCGCCTCCCAAATGGAATATTGCTAACCATTCCAATTCTTGACAATCGTGTAAGGGAAAACGGCATTTCACTATACTTTAATTTACATTTTTACAACTTGTGAATGAGATTATTTCCTCTTATTTCCTTTTTGGAGAATCACTTATGTTTTGCTAATTATCTACTCGTTGGTCATTGCCTATTGGTCTGTGGAATCTCTTTCTGTGTTGAAAGACTACCCTTAGTCTATTCAATATTATGATGCTCTTACTTTGTTTATGCTGCATTTTTGCCACACAGAATTAAATAGTAATTTTAGCTCACTAGGTAAGTCTCTTCTTTTATGACTTTGAAAGTTGTGTCACATCTATAGTGGCAGTCCTTACTGGAAGACTTAAAATAAAAATTCTATCATTTTTTTCTTTTTTCTTTATTTATTTTTAATAGTCAGCTTTCTAATCTAGGTGGTATTTATTGTGATATAATGAGTTAGGTTAGAAATCTAACTTAAAGAGAAAAGAAGGGCTATATGCTCATATGTTCATAACAGCAACGTCCACAACAGCCAAACTCTGGAAGGAGTGGAGATGTCCTTCAACAGACAAATGGATAAAGAAGATGTGGTTCATATATACAAAGGAATATTCCTCAGCCGCCAGAAAGGATGAATGTCTGTCATCTGCATCGACATAGATGGAAATGGAGGGGATTAAGATGAGTGAAATAAGTCAAGCAGAGAAAGACAATTATCATATGGTTTCACTTATACGCGGAACATAGGAATAGCAGGGAGGACATTAGGAGAAAGAAGGGAAAAATGAAGGGGTGGGAATCAGAGGGGGAGATGAACCATGAGAGACTATGGACTCTGGGAAACAAACTGAGGGTTTCAGAGGGGAGGGGATGGGGGGATGGGTGAGCCTGGTGATGGGTATTGAGGAGGGCACGTATTGCATGGAGCACTGGGTGTTATACGCAAACAATGAATCTTGGAACACTGCATCAAAAACCAATTATGTACTGTATGGTGACTAACATAACATAATAAAATTTTTAAAAAAGGAATCTAACTTAAAAATTTTTTTTAACTTAAAATTTTTTAAGATGGCTACTCCATTGTCTTAATAAAACTTGCTAAATGATTGAGCTTCTTTTACAAATTTACCCTCTACTACAAGGCAAATGTAAAGAATGGGCTAAAAGAAGTCATGCACAGGGAAGTGTATTTCATACTTTCACCTAGTACATGGCAGGACAGTTCAGTGAACTGTATATTCTTTTTGGGTTTTGGGGGAAGATTTTATTTCTAAGTAATCTCTACACCCAACATGGGGCTCAAACTTACAACTCCAAGATTGAGAGTCACATGTCCTACCAACTGAGCCAGTCAGGGGCCCCCCAAAAATCATATATTTTTGAACATATTTAAATGTGCCCTCTACAGTTGTAAAAAGAAAAAAAAAATTCTCAAATATGGAAGAGGGTATTCTTCAGAGGTATGTTTACACAGAGGAAATTCAACAGAATGTTGATATCTTCCAGGCCTGTTCAAAATTCTTGACTATGGTACGGGTGCCACCAAGTTCTGTGGGTGCCTCTTACACTTGGACTCAGCAGACCGCCCACAGTTGTGCTTATACTTATGCTCATAGTACTTACAAAGCCTACCAACTCCACTCTCACAACGACCCATTACAAGTTATCACGTGTCACAGGCTTTTGAAATCTCTTGTAAATGACTCAGGTTATGGTTAACCTGATAAAACTGTAACCCAGAAGATTCAAAAATATATAAATACTGATGGACAAAAATGAGAAGCTTTATCTTATTAAATAATATTTATATACATGCATTTTGGAGGAGCAAATATCTAGATGCTAGTGATAAAAAGAAGTATTTTGTAGTGGCACAGATCACAGAAACACCTTCCATATGTATTTCACACTTCATAAAAATGTTTTCTAATCCATTATCACTTTGATTTTCAAAATATCTATAAAGCAGATCCATGTCATGAAAAGGAAAAGAAGGAAGAAGACATGGGCAGCTTTACTAAAGAAAGTAGTCCTCAACAAATTATATTTTAAATGAATGAGATTCTTTTTTTTCTAGATTAAAAACAAAAGAATGGAAAGCAAGGGCTTGAATAGATAAACGTACACCTATGTACACAGCAGCATTATTTACAATAGCTAAAACATGGAAGAAACCAAAGCGTTCATCAATAGGTGAATGGGTAAATTAATTTTTTATATAAGTAAATACATAAATCACACACACACACACATACACACACACACACACACACATTTTCCACCACATACATATATATGGTGGAATACTATTCAGCCCTAAAAATAAGGAAATCCTATTATGTGCTATAATGTAGGCAAACCTTGAGGACAATGTGTTAAGTGAAATAAGCCAGTCACGAAAAAACAAATACTGTATGAGGTATCTGGAGCAGCCAAATTCACAGAAAGAGAAAGTAGAATGGCTGTTGCCAGGGACTGGGGAGGAGGAAAAATTGAGGAATTATTATTTAATGGCTACAGTTCCAGTTGTGCAAAATAAACGAGTCCTAGAGAGTGTACAACAGTTTGACTATATTCAACAATGCTGGACTGTAGACTTAAAAACAATTAAGGTGACAAACTTTGTGTCATGTGAATGTTCAACAGGAAAAAACAAATGCTCTTTCCAAGCCCCGCATCTCACAAACCTGTCCAAAAACTTCTTCGTTAACAGTGAACGTGAGGTCTAGGATATCTGTGATATTGTTGTCCTTCATCCACTGCAAACTCTGGTGGAACTCCTCATCCAGATATTCCAGGTCGCTCAGATCACAGGGCCTGGATGCATTCCAAGGGCAAAACGTAACCAGTTTGTTAACTGAACAGATGCCCAGCCTGGCTAAAACAACATAGGCTGATTCTAACAATTCTGATACTCTGGAATATACTGATGAGTCTTCTCAGTGCATTCAATGCTTGTTTTTGAAAATTTGTTTTTCAAACTGAAATTTGAAATTCAATTGTGAAATTGAATGGAATTATCCCAGTAATAAACATGGGATGATTATTAATGGCAACTGGAGAAACGTTTTTAAAAAATATTTTAAAACAATGAAGTTTTAGATTAATTCTACTTAGTGTAATGCAAAGTTTGCAATATGACTGTAATTATTTATATAAACTGATTCATTCCATTATATGAAGTTTTAATAGTCTTCTCCTATGCTTACATAAAAACTCCAAATGCCTTTATATTGTATTAAAAGGTTTATGTGACGTCTAAGCACTCAGAAAAGTCAACGAACAGGAATGGTTAGGGTAAACCAGGGACAGAGTCCGAGGTACCAGGGAGACCAGACCTTAGTGCGTGGACCACGGCCTACAGTAATACACTTACAGTCTCAGGAGTGCCTTGTAGAAGGGCCTTGTGAAGAAGGCGTCAAGAAGGTACTGATGGATCAAAGCCAGGCCTAGGATACGACCACTAAACCTGAACCTGAAACACAGACAAGGCAGAAAAATTGAAGGGCAGGTGGAAATTCACATTGTTAAAAAATTTAATTTGTACTTGTATTTGATGTGTTTCTTGACAGTAAGCTGTTTATGGAACTTGCTATTGATGACGCAAGGGAGGTGCCCATTCTCCTCCTCCTTAAGCTTTATCCTAAATCACGCCTGCATGCTTGTTATGTATTAAAGGAACTCTCCTCTCCCCCAAGCACCAGAAGAGAGTCCTTCTGCTGGAGTCCTCTTCTCAGAGCTGACAGTATAAGGACCCAAGAGAAGAAACGCACTGGTAAAGGGGAAGTCTGGAAGCCCAGATAAACAGTCCACATTGAACCTGAGAGGACCTGAACCCAAGGACATAGAAAGCTTTCTGGACCATGTCTCCTTATCCATTCAAGCATTCCAGGGATACCACCGGAAGGTCTAATGTGTGCTCAATACACTCCAGGAGGCAGAAGACTTAAGTATGAGTCCTTCAGGGCTTCTGTGCTCAGAGTCAGCAGGAAGAGTTCCGTGGAATCCCACTGTGGTAAGCATAAGCTGAGCCTACACGGCTATTTACTATTGCCACACACAAGCGAAGAACAGGTCTCTGCTGGGAAGAACTGGTCCTGTAGATCTGGCTACCTCCAGATACACGGGCCTTTAATGATTTAAATCCTTATCGGGGAAAATCCTGGGATTTTTTTTTCTAATAATCTGAAATTTTCACTAATAACCTGCTTGGCTGATTGCTGGAGCTTGATCCCACAGCTGCCCTGCTCCTAAACCAGAAGCTCATCTGCTTGGTCTAGCACAGGGTTTCCTCACCATGTGGGCCTTGCCCATCTCTAGCTCCTGCCTCCATAACAGGGGTCTCCCTGGTCTCTTTCCATCTAAGCAGACTTTCACCCAACTGTAGACTCTGCTGTGACTTTCTTTCAGATCCTCCCAGTTGGAATTTTCAACTAACCCACCTCCACTACCTTTCATGAGACTTTTTTCAGACTCAGAACTACCTTACAACTACTATAAACATTGTTATAATGAATACATCCTCTGATCCCATAGAATGAGCATAATTCTAAATAATACTTCAAACTGGCATATTTCAAGCGGTCAATTCTATTCGCAGGAGATAACATGCCAACATCAACGTACAAGTACGATCAACTCTGAAGAGAGTGGAGGTGAGGGGAATCTCAGCTGAGAGGCACTGTGGATGGGGAAGCTCCCAGAGTAATCAGACGTCTTGGAGTCCCTGAGGCTGTGCCCCACTAATGCTTTGTCCCAGGGCTGTCTCCTGACCCGCTTAATAAATGACCAGTCCCCAACATGATGACCACAATCCTGTATATACAAACACAGCTTACATCTACCCCAATACAGGCGTGCCCACTCTAACTGGACTCCAAGCATTACGGCTGAGGCTTCTAGCGTTATGGTGGGGTTGTGACCGTCCAGATGGAGATGACCGAGACCACCCAAAGCAGGAAGAGCTCAAACATCAACACGGGTGTCTGGCCAAGGACCCTCTTCACTGACAGGTGGCCCCCAAAGGCCTGGTAAAGAAGAACTATAATCTCAGCAGGCAGTAAGTATCCACAGATAGGGAGTAGATGAGAATATTACACAAGGACACAATTTTCAGTCAATGTTTTAAAAAATGGAATATTCCAGTGAATTGTAAATGTTCTAACAGACTATTAATTATTCAAATCTGTTCAGGAAGAAGCAGAAAACTTAAATAGGCAACGAACCACAGTATGAACTAGAAAATTATAAGGAAAAAGGACTATATACAAAATTGATGCCGGGACTGGATACACACACACACACACACACACACACGCACACACACACATATTTAAAGACATATTCTTTCAAATCCTCCATGGATAGATAGAAAACCCTTCTGCTATTTATATAGTTCCAGAAATCAGAAAAGGACAGAAAACTTCTTAATTCATCATTATGAGCTACCATCACCACAAAATGGAATCTGGAAAAAAGCAAAAGAAAGAACCCTAAAGACATTTCACTTACATATTTAAAAAATTATAGTTAAAACATGAGAACCTACCAACCCATTCCCAGATCAATGCAAAATGATTAAAGATATTTGATTTTAGGAAACTGAGGACAGTTTAATATTCGGTATTCTATTATTAACACTGGAATTCTATTATTAAAATGAATTATGGGGGCACCCGCGTGGCTCAGTTGGTTAAGCCACTGCCTTCGGCTCAGGTCGTGATCCAGGAGTCCTGGGATGGAGTCCCACATTGGGCTCCCAGCTCCGCAGGGAGTCTGCTTCTCCCTCTGACCTTCTCCCCTCTCATGCTCTCTCTCACTCTCTTTCTCTCTCTCAAATAAATAAAATCTTTAGAAAAATGAATTATGAAATCAAAAGACAAAAATCGTATGGCTTTTGCTGTTGTTGGAAGCTGAAGTTACCTGATAGTATCTGCCATCCGTTTCTGAGGAAAAAATCTTTGTAGTAAACCACGAATAGAAGAATGGTCCCTTACCACAATGAGGAAGGTCGATCTCAGCACCCTACTTAACAGTAAAAACGCAGAAGGATGCTGGTTACCACCGCCCTTGACAATGTGCCAGGAGCTCCAGTGACTGCAATTACTTCTGAGTGAAAAATTGGAAACAGATTGGAAATAACTTTCACTGAATGCCTACTGAACCAACATGTTACTGGTATTATCTCCCTGACCCTTGCAACAACTCTGTTTTCACAAGTTTTCTATCTTCATTTCACAGATTAAGAAACTGAAGGCCAATATTTAGCCCCAAGCAAGTGGTACGGTAAAGACACCAATGTGTATCTGTCAGGCCTTTCCCTCTGTGTCCATTTGGAGAAGCCAAATGGCAGAGAAGTTAATCCTCTGGTCCAGGGGCCGGGCTGCCTGGTGTGTGATCTCCTGCAAGGACTTAACTACTTGCTCTCTGTTTCCTCTTCGGCAAAATGGCACTTTTTACATATTATTATCTTACTTTATGTTGACTTCCAACACCAACTTGTGTCAAGTAAACTTCAACTAGCTTAAGCCAAGGGGGGAATTCCTTGCAAGTTCTTGGTGGTATCTCATGGAAGCCAGGGTCAGGAAGGCAGCTGGGAGTCAGCCAGATGAGGCACAGGAGTGACTTCACTGTCCCTCATCAACCTTCTCCCCTTGACTTCTCTTTGTGCACCTCTGCTCCTTTCTCCTCTCTTGCTGTCAAAACTTCCTGTGGTTTTCATCCTAGAGAGGCCAACTTGACTCTTTCTGACTTAGTCCAAATTTCCAACACGATTCCCTGCTTGTTGTGTGACTCAGGTTGCTGCCCATCCTGGACCAATTGTAAGTGATCAGGAAAGCGAGTTCTGGGGAGCAGACTCAGGGTTTGGTGTCTTGTCCAGCACCGTGTAGCGAGGATCGCCACCGCCTACCTCTCAACAAGGGGCTGCGACCCGATGGGAGTGCGGCAGATGGCCTGGTTTCCAGCACAGGACCCTTGCAATGCAGACTACCAACAGACAGCTGTTGACTGACTTTGAATGGGTAGACTGTAAGATGGAATTTCTAAAGACAGAATTATACCAGTTTCACAGGCTGATGTGGGCCACTAGTAAGCTCTAGGTATTTTTTTGTAGGTGTGCAAGTAATCTATTGCAAGTGGTTTGCTTTACATAAACACAGACAGGATGGCTCATAGCCAGACCAATATATATAGTAAAATATTTTCCAGAGCGATGAACTATGATCTGGGATGTGTCTGTATGAAGCACAATACAATTGTACAACTCAAATCCAAAAGAATAGCTTAAAAAGCATGGATTGAAATGGAAAACCTTAACAGCTGGTGAATTGCCATGATGTATAATTTCATGTATAAGAAAACATCTTCTAGTAATTGTGCACTTCCTTGGTTTATCTCACTTAGCTTGAGCAACTACTTGCTAGGAAATTGATTATCCTTTTGTTACAAATGTGTAGGAATTACAAAATGGAAAGAAACTGTATATCTTTAGTCTCTGTATTGATAATTTAAGAAACTATACACATAATTTAAGCAAAAGAAGTTTATGTTTGATCTAAATTACTTGGCACAAATAGTACTTTTTGAAGATTTTATTTATTTATTTATGAGAGAGAGAAAAAGAAAGAGAGAGAGAGAGTGCACAAGCGGGAGTGTGCGGAAGGGTAGAGGAGGAGGGGGAGGGACAAACAGACTCTATGCTGAGCGCAGAGCCCAATGCGGGGCTCAATCTCAGGACCCCGCAATCATGACCTGAGCTGAAACCAAGAACTGGACACTCAACTGAATGAGCCACTCAGATGCCCCACAAATAGTAAGTTTTAAGGACAAATGAAAGTCCGCATGGAAGTAGCAGACTGTGCCTTCCCTGCCTGTGGATATTCCTGTGTCACTTCAACATCCAGGCCCCAGGGTCCCCAGCTGCAGAGCCCCCCATGTGTGAACTTGCAGGACCTCCAACCCTCCTTCCTCAGCAGGGACCCCACAAGGAGTCTCCGCTGATGCTGCCGGTCAGCCTGGCTCCCAGGGTGTGGCACTGGTCCTCCTTTCCTGGGCTGCCATTTTTGAAAGTGTGCTGATCTCAGCCCATCCCAGCGGTGGCTAATGTGCTGCATGATCTAGTGTGGTGCCACTGCCATCGACCCCCAGGCCGCTGCTGCCCAAGACCTGCTCATTTCTGTTTTGCTGGTGGGGCACAGCTCCTCTGTGCTGACCTGCGCTGTTGGCCAGACTTCACAGCAGAGTTGCTAGGGACCTGAGAGTTTACTGGAACTACTTTTGAAATTTACTCACTGTCCTTCAACCCCTAGGCTGGCAAAGTCATGGTGGACCTAGGGAGCAGCTCCCCCATCTCGGCCTCAGGCTTGCGGACCACTCTGGTTTGCTGTGCCATTCTTCTGCTTCTCTTGTGTTATTTCCGGGACCCCAGACTCCCTGCTCACACTTGCTTCCTATTGGGCTCCCCTTTGTGAGCAT